ATAAAAATGATCACAGATTATTTTCTGACAAGCTTGTTCCAGAGAAAGGTGGTATCACATAATTGTTGGCACTTTTGTCTCTCTTCCTCTTCCTTTTTAACATTTATAGTAGAAAGGTTGTTGGCTGGTTATTGACTGTTGAAGTCCAAAACTTTTAAATCTTACATCATCTCATTTTTTTGTAGACACCAACATATGAAAATGATCTGTGTTCATGTCATATTGTTGTTCGCTCTGCAGGGCACTCACTTTGTTAAAAAAAAACATTTCTTGTTCTGCTGCAGTCTATCCGTTGCTGCATGCAGTGACAATTTTACAGCTGCCATCAGCCTACAGCTGCTCGTCTGATTGGAAGCTCATTCTCATTGTAGACGACGTACATTAAATCTGCATTTTTTTGAGGGGAAAATGAAATCTAATTTCCTTGTGCTTTGTGGGGAGAGGAGAAATCGGGGAATAATGGCTGGGGGAGAAAATGTCAGTTGTGAGGGGAATCTGGCAAGTCAGTTCAGTTTATAGTTGAAGCATTCACTGACAATCTTCAGTCATTATCAGATGACAGTCATTAACATCACATGACTGTATACATTTCACTTCTTGTTATGCTCACCCTCCTACAGTGATATTGGGTTTTAGAATGTGAAATGAAGAAATACAATAAGTGCTGTTACAGAGTCTGCATTATCTGTGGCATTGTTAAAACGGATGCTTGGGAAAATGGAATGATGTAGGTCATTAACTTTTGATTCACTTCAGTATTTCTACAGTGTCAACGATGTAATGTGCATAAGAATATTTTAAAGGAATGTACTGTATTATCTGTTTCCATGCTGATATAACTTTGATAACGTGCAGTCAGCGATACATTGATTGTCAGGCCATATGAGAAACACCACCATTGTTCCTCTTCTACATATAGTCATGTTTAAGATCCTACTGGGCACCCGTCAGTTCCTAACATGACAGCATTTTCTCTGAGAAAATTACAGTAAAATGCATTTCTCATTTTATGTGAGATAAGGAGGAGGCTAGCCCCGTGGTACAGCTCGCAGCTCCGCTCCCTAAAGCAGGCATCACGAAAAATGGAAAGGAGGCGGCACTCCACTAAGTCAGAAGAGTTTTTCATAGCCTGGAAAGATCGTTTAATAACATATAAGAAAGCCCTTCATAGTGCCAGAACTGCATTTTATTCATCACTGATTGAGGAAAATAAGAACAACCCCAGGTTTCTTTTCAGCACTGTAGCCAGGCTGACAAAGAGCCACAGTGCTGTTGAGCTTAACATTCCCTTAGATCTCAGCAGCAATGACTTCATGAGCTTCTTTACAAATAAAATCACAACTATTAGAGAAAAAAATTGGTCGGACCACTCCCACAGCTCTCACAGATGTGCCATCTACTACAATGGCTTTAGAAACATCTGTAAGACCTCATTTATACTTGGACTACTTCTCCCCTATAGATCTCTCTGAGTTGACCTCAACAATTGCTTCATCTAAATCATCAACATGTCTCCTGGACCCCATCCCGACCAGGCTGCTCAAAGACGTCTTTCCCCTAATCAACACATCCATACTAGATCTGATTAACCTCTCTCTATTAACAGGTTATGTTCCACAGGCTTTTAAACTTGCAGTAATTAAACCTCTACTCAAAAAGCCTACTCTTGACCCAGGTGTCCTAGCTAATTATAGACCAATATCCAATCGCCCATTTATTTCCAAAATCCTTGAAAAAGCTGTAGCAAAGCAGTTATGTGACCACTTGCACAAGAATGATTTGTTTGAGGATTTTCAGTCAGGATTTAGAGTCCATCATAGTACAGAAACCGCATTGGTGAAAGTCACCAATGATCTTCTCCTAGCCTCGGACAAAGGACTTGTCTCCATACTTGTCCTCTTAGATCTCAGTGCTGCTTTTGACACCATTGATCACAGCATCTTACTGCAGAGACTTGAACATGTTATTGGGATTAAAGGAACTGCGCTAAGTTGGTTCAAATCTTATTTATCAGAAAGATTTCAATTTGTTCATGTTAATGACGAATGTTCCACACAAACTGAAGTTAGTCACGGCATTCCACAGGGCTCTGTGTTAGGTCCAATTCTCTTCACTTTATACATGCTCCCTTTAGGCAATATTATCAGGAAGCACAACATAAATTTCCATTGCTATGCAGATGATACTCAGTTATATTTATCTATGAAGCCAAATGAATCAGGTCAGCTGGTCAAACTTCAAGCATGTCTTAAAGACATAAAGGCCTGGATGACCTGCAACTTCTTACTTCTAAACTCTGACAAAACTGAAGTTATTGTGCTTGGGCCTGAAAACCTTAGAAATCTGCTGTCTAATCATATAGTTACTTTAGATGACATAGCTCTTGCCTCCAGTACTACTGTGAGGAACCTTGGAGTCATCTTTGATCAGAATATGTCCTTTAAATCACACATAAACCAAGTCTCTAGATCTGCCTTCTTTCACCTGCGCAATATTGCAAAAATCAGGAGCATCCTGTCTCAAAGTGATGCTGAAAAACTGGTCCATGCATTTGTTACTTCCAGGCTGGACTACTGTAACTCTTTACTATCAGGATGTCCCAATAATTCCCTAAAAAGCCTCCAGTTAATCCAAAATGCTGCAGCCAGAGTACTGACAGGAACTAGCAAGAGAGATCATATCTCTCCCATATTAGCTTCTCTCCACTGGCTCCCTGTAAAATTCAGAATAGAATTTAAAATCCTTCTCCTAACATACAAAGCCCTTAATGACAAGGCTTCATCGTATCTTAAAGACCTCGTAGAGCCTTATCATCAACAGAGCACTTCGCTCTCAGAGTGCAGGTTTACTTGTGGTTCCTAGAGTCCACAGAAGCAGAATGGGAGGCAGAGCCTTTAGCTATCAAGCTCCTCTCCAATGGAACCAACTCCCAGTCTCAGTTCGGGATCCGGACACCTGTATTCCATCCCTAGTTACAAACGTTTGCCTACCAGTGTATGGACACTTTGTTTTTCCCTGGATCTGGTTATTTGTCTGCCCGTTGTTGGAACTGTTTGCTTTCACTGCCCTGTTTGGTTACAATCTCATTGCCCTTGTTTGACCACAACTTGGGCTGTGGCCCCAAATGTGCCTACCACATATTAGAGACTTGTTACTTACACTTACCATGCTTCCCCTGTTACAATAGAAAGAGTGGACATTCACCTCTATCCTCTGAAAAGCCTGCTAATACTTTACTTCTGGAAGAATTATCCAACTGTGAAATTGCTGTCAGTCTCCTATAGTACCTTCCTGTGTGGACCTTTTCACCTGCCCTGCTGTGCTAACCTGTGTCCACCATGTTACCTGTCTAGCTGTACTTACCTGTGACAGCTGTCGTACCTCTCCAGTTGTATAATATATACCAGTTATTTTTAAGATTGCTTTTGCTCAATCATTGCTGAAGGGATCTAGTTTAGACCGCACACTTTTAACGTCTAACTTCTGGCCAATTTCCAAAGTGCTCTTCATATCAAAAATCCTGACAAAGATAACGCTAGATCTGCTTCTAGATGCACTGGAGTATTCTTGAGATGTTTAAACCAGGGTTGTGCAAGCTACATAGCATTGGAAGAGAGTTAGAAATGATTTACCGATGGCTATTGACTCAGGTGCATGTGTGTCACTTTTGCTTGACCTCAGTGCAGTGTTTGATACCATCAGCCACTCTATCCTTATAAGCAGACTAAAACATTGGGGAATATCGCAGTAAATTTATTTACTGTATTTTATCACTGGAACTTCTCTGGACCAGTTTTCCTCTGATTTAGCTTAAAGATTTTTGTTTGTTTGTTTGTTTGTTTTTTTGGGCAGCACAGCAGTGCAGTGGTTAGTGCTGTCGCCTCACAGCAAGAAGGTTCCGTGTTTGAGCCCGGGCCGACCCGGGGCCTTTCTGTGCAGAGTTTGCATGTTCTGCCTGTACCTGTGTGGGTTCTCTCCAGCTACTTTGGCTTCCTCCCACAGTCCAAAGACATGCAGCTTAGGTTGATTGGTGACTCTAAATTGCCTGTAGGAGTGTGTGTGGTTGTTTGTCTACATGTCAGCCCTGTGATAGACTGGTGACCTGTCCAGGATGTACCCTGCCTCTTGCCCAATGTCATCTGGGATTGGCCCTAGCCCCCCTGTGACCCTATTTAGGAAAAAGCAGTATAGATAATGGATGTTTGTTTCTTTTGATGAATTAACCTCACAGGCTGCTACATGGCTCAGTCTTGGGACTTGTTCTGTTTACCCTATATGTGTTGCATTTAGGAGGTCATCTGTCACCACAATGTGTCCTACATGGATGATACACAGCTGTACCTGTCATTTTAAATCTCCTGACATTGGAAAGCTGGCTCTAATATATAGCTGCTTAGATTACATAAAAGGTCAAAGGCCCTATAACTTTTTAAATTTGAACTCTGACAAGACAGAATTTCTAATCATCGGCCTTGAACGTCTCAGAACAACATCAGCCACTTTTCACCCTCCCCACTCCTGCCGTGAAATCGGCTACAAAAAGCCTGGATGTTATCTTGGACTGTGGCAGCAGCCTGAAGCAGCATATAAAGAAAGTAAAATTAGATAAATTCTGTTTGTAGTTACACAGAGAGAAATGTACATGCTTTTATATCCTCCCACCTCAGACATTATAATGCCTTGTTTATTTAACAGTTGAGCTTTGAGGCAGCTCTAAATTGTTCAGAATTCAGCAGCCACACCACTGCTCCAGACTTTTAGCTTTATTGCAGTATGTTCCACTCTCCATTAGAATCCATTTAAAAATGTTGTCCTTTAACTGTTCCAGAGTCTAATTTCTAAACAAAGGGTGATCAAGAATTTTCTAGATAGTTTTGGAAATGCTCTGTTTGTAGACTGTATACTTTAGTCATGTTTACATCATTTATTAAGACTGGAGAGTCAATGTCAGTTTTGGTGTGAACACAAAAACATTGTTTCTTATGTTATCCATTTTGCAGGTGAACATCTTCGTGTATGTCCTCAGGGAAACACATGTTGCACCCAGGACATGGAAGACACATTTGGCCAACAGAGTAAACAGGACTTTGAGAATCTGGTTGATGAAACGAGTCATGACTTGAGAAGCACCTTTGTATCCAGACATAAAAAATTTGATGGTAAGTCTCTGATTCATTTTCCTGTTTTGTTTCCTTTTTAAACAGTTCTAATGGTCAGACACTGTAGACTAGATTACTCCAAAGAAGACAATCAAAGGACTGAGACTATATGTGTTAATTTGAAGGTTTGCTGTTTGTAGTCCTATAGCTGTTTACTGTTCAGGAGATGTGATGTGAAAATCCTATTTACATGCCTTGGAGTGGAAAACCCTCTTGTTGGATTAGAAAAACATAGTTTCTTACACAGCATATTGACAGCTTGAGCAGCAGTACAGAGCAAAACTTTGCATTATTAAATCTGTTTGATGGTCTTGTGCTGTGTGTAATCTTGTCTTAGTCCCATGGTATGTGTCTTGACCACCTCTGCTTCTGCTATGGACGGGAGATGCTCATTACCCGCTCTGCCTCTCCCTCTTGGTATCCTTCTCTATGGAGTCAGCTCCTTCAAGTTACAGTGTAATGAGAAATAATAATCCCTCCAGCTCCCAGCATTAGACTGTGTAGGAAGCAACAGCTTATCACTGTGGACAATGGCAAAGTGTGGCGGAGGTGAAAACTGTCAAGGATAGCCACCTGTAAGCGCTGATAAGTTATTACTCAGAACTTTTAGTATGATTCATATATAATCTTGTTTGTTGTGACATGGTTTGCATATACAGTAGCATATAAAGAATGCGCTTCCTGCTTTCATGTGGGTACATAAACAACATAAATCCAAGTTGTGTTTGAGTGTTGTTAGCAAATCAAACATGTTGTAACTGCACTTCTGCAAACATTTTCCTGCTCTTTGATAGAAATCTGTTTGCTTGCTTGTCATCCATGGAATTTAAATTACAAAGCAACAACATCTGTGAAAATGCAGGAGTCCTTGCATCAGGAATCTTGATTTATCCCTGAATTCAAAGTTGGTATTGAGTGGAATTGTGTTACCAATGCAGAGCTAAGACCATTGAACTGACCTCATATAAACAGATATATGGATTATATAAGTCATACATATGTCTACATGAATATGGCCTCTTCTTAAATCTCTGGATTAAACAGTTATTCAGTTAAAGTAATTCTAATCTTTGTGCCAAAGTAGGTTGAAGCATACTGTTTATATTGGGCTGTCTGCTGTAAATATATCTATTGTCAACCACTAAATCATGTTTGAGTGATTAATAGTGTAATTTAATACTCAGCAGTCAATGTCTTATCTGTCTATGTGCTGATTCTTTTCAAACTATTCAACATATTATATGAAACAAAAGCTATTGATTTACAGTATGCAAGTCTCGGATGATTGCACAGTGCCCAGAAACTCAGTGTCACAATGCCTGGGTGATGTCTTGTCTGTTTTTTCCAGGAATGTAGACTTCTGTAGTTCACACGGTGATTCCTGGAAGCGTTCATAAATAAATAAGTGTTATGTTGATCAGCTCTGGTCAGGATAGTGAATGTCATAAGGAGAATTCCAGTGAGGGAGGAAACTGGGTTTGTCCAACAGCACTTAGATGCATGACTCCAGGCACATCCCTTCCTCTTGAGGTTTGCTGCCACTCTGCATAATTTCATCAGCGTCAAAGCAGATGCTCTGCAGCCCTTTGCTGTCTGGAGACTTTGTGCCTGCTGAGGGGGCTCAACTGACCACCTGCTCTGGAATTATGTGATATTGATAGATTTGAGTTTCACCCTTATCAATGTGCCAGTAGTTGAAACTGAGTGTTTAAAGCGGTGTGGTTTTCAGTTGTCAGCAGCACTGCCATAAGAAAAGAACATATATCTTAGTGTTTAATATATTAATAGGATTCTGCATTTTCAACTCTGTTGATGTTATCAAAGTAATTGTTTTGGCCTTGATAGTGAACCAGAACACACAGCAAAAGATCCAAACAATAAAGTACTGTTAGCTCATTTTGATGCTTCGCATTTGGCTCTGGAGTCCCACCTACTCACAGTCAGTGTATGTGTACATTTTCTTCTCTTTATGCAAAGTTTGTGATGAGTGTTACTGTAACTGACAGTAGCTGGCCTGCCCACGCATACCTGACACCACAGCCTATGTGTCACAGTGAGAGGGCATTGTCTCGACTATGCCAAGACCGCCTCAGTGGAAATATAGGAATTTCCACAACAACCCAGTTATACAGTGCAACTGGATGAATTCGAGAGAGAATCATCTAAAACTCTATGCCAAACATGCAGCCATGCTTGCTGCAATTTATTAATAAATGTGATCATTTACAGTGCCTATAAAAAGTATTCACCTCCTTGGATGTTTTACCCTTTTATTAATGTTATAAATTAATCATGGTCAATATAATTTGGCTTTTTTGACAAAAGAATTACAAAAAAACCCTGTTTAATGTCAAAGTGAAAACAGGTTTCTACAAAGTAATGTCAATTAAATAAAAATAAGTCATGTGAAATAAGCGACTGCATAAATATTCACCCCCTTTAAAATGACTAACCTAATTCAACAGAGGTCCAGCCAATTGGTGCTAGTAGTCTCACAGTTTGTGAAATGGGGATCACCTGAGTGCAGTGAATGTATCTCATGTGATTGTAGTATAAAGACTCCTGTGTCTGGAAGGGCCAGTCACTGGTTAATCAATATTCCAGGCTACCATACAGCATGAAGGAAAAAGAACACTCCAAGCAACTCAAAGAAAAGGTTATTGAAAATTATAAGTCAGAGGATGGATACAAAAACATTTCCAAGGCACCAAACATCCCCCAGAGTTCAGTTAAATCCATCATCAAGAAATGGAAGGAACATGGAACATGTCTAAATCTGCCTAGAGCACGCCGTCCCTACAGTCTGAGTGACTGTGCAAGAAGGAGACTAGTGAGCGAGGCCACCAAGACACCCCTGTGACTACTCTGATGGAGTTACAAGCTTCAGCAGCTGAGATTGGACAGACTCCATTTGTCAGGTGGAAGAAAGTTCTTTGGTCTGATGAGACTAACATGGTGCTTTTTGGCCATTAGACACTATGCTTGGCAGACACCAAACACTGCACATCACCACAAACACACCGTCCCCACTGTGAAGCACGGTGGTGGCAGCATCATGCTGTGGGGATGCTTCTCTGCAGCCGGCCCTGGAAGGCTTGTAAAGGTAGAGGGTAACATGAATGTGGCAAAATATAGGAAAATCCTGGAGGACAATCTTATTCAGTCTGCAAGAGAACTACGGCTTGGGAGAAGATTTATTTTCCAGCAAAACAATGACCTGAAGCACAGAGTGAAAGCTACTCAGAACTAGTTTAAAGACAACAGGGTGAGTGTTCTGGAGTGGCTGAGTCAAAGCCCAGACCTCAGTCCAATAGAGAATTTGTGGCTAGACTTGAAAAACGCTGTTCATGTCCGATCCTCACGCAACCTGGCAGAGCTTGTGCAATTTTGCAAAGAAGAATGGAGCAAAATTGCAGTGTCCAGATGTGCAGGCCTGATTGAGGCCTATCCACACAGACTCGGTGCTGTGATTGCAGCCAACGGTGCATCTACTAAATACTGACTTGAAGGGGGTGAATATTTATGCAATCACTTATTTCACATTACATATTTTAATTTAATTGACATTACTTTGTAGAAACCTGTTTTCACTTTGACATTAAACAGGGTTTTTTGTTTTTGTTTTTTTGTCAAAAAAAGCCAAATTATATTGACCATGATTAATTTATAAAATCAATAAAAGGGTAAAACATCCAAGGGGGTGAATATTTTTTATAGGCGCTGTATGTATCAAATTTCATGTCTGAATATTGTCATTGTTTTCACCCTAAGACCACAGGAAATAACCGTTCAGAGAAATGAGACCAAACGATGGCTGGCCCAGAGGATTCTTTTCTACCTTGCTCATTATGGAGTCAAGGGTCTTAATCGCTAATCAATTGTTGGACCTCCTCTGACCATGACCACAATGGTAATGGGTAGCCAAATAGAAAATTAATGTGGTCCTCGCTGCACAATTGATCTTTTTTGGGGGGGTTACTGATTTACACACTGTTATTACAGACACGTATTGTTGTCAGTTAAATTGCTGTAAGATTGTTTCAGAAGAATATAAAAAGTGAGTTCTCTCCTCCCTCAGCGGCGATTGCTCAGGCACCCTTGATCAAAGCACTTAACCCGAAATTACTCCAAAGAAGCTGCCAGCCATAGAAGATGTACCATGCTGGCCAGCTACCAAGTGTTGGACGATGCTGAAAATGGCATGCTTGCTCAGCACAATCGTTTTTTAGTTAAGAAGCTCTATTGGACCATCCAGTTAGAGAATGGGAGAGACTGTAGGATCGAGGTAGAAATGTCTCATTGTACACTGTAGGGTTTTTGTGAAAATATCTAGGACCGTAGGAGTCCTGCTCAGTAGGGTTTCTGATGCACAAGCATTGACTGGTTTGAAAAACTATCACTTGAAGTGAATACCTCTTTTTTGGATACCTTTGTCTTAACTTACCAGTATGCCATTTACTTTTTTTATTTTACAGCTGGGATTTTTACATTGAATGTCTAGACTTTAACTGCCATTTGTGATACAGAAGTAAGGACACGGGAATTAACATAAAGAAAGTGAGACATAAAAGGTCAGCCTGTTATGTTTTTTTACAGCAGCACTCTGAGCAGCTGCCTGAATGTCGGCACTCCCTGTCAGACCAATCAGAGACTCAACTAGTGATTGACATGAAATTCAAAGTGCTCTTTGTAGCAGCAGAATTTCTAGTTCATGTACAGGCATGAGGGCTTATGGAGGTTGCATATAGCAAGCTGTGTGCCTTATATTATGCAGCTGCAATAATCACAAAGTGAGAGATGGGCTCTCTTTTTGATTGGCTGCTCTCCCATAGGGAAAAGACACTGCTGGAGATAACAGCCTGTTTACTCTGCTGTATGAGGGCCAGAGTCATTTTTGCAGTTGACTCAGGGTAGCTTCTCTGATAAATTACAGATAGCTCTGACATTGTGTTGCTAGCAAGAATATGTTGTACATTGAAGACATCTGAGAAATGATTAAA